AAAAAAAAAAAAAAAAAAAAAAACACGAGTAATTACAGAACATCAACAAAATAAGAGACCCGACTGCAGGAACAAGAACAGAATTCAAAAACAAAGAACACACAAGAAAGAAAACCAGAAACGAACATCAATTGAGTGATTATTCAGCCACAGAAAGAAGAATCAAAGAGAATAACGAAGGAGAAAGGGGAATTCAATCGAACCCACCTGGGAATTGAAGAAGACAAAATGTGGAGTGAAGATAAACAAAGAATCTGTATAAGAACAGAGAATGAAGACAGAGAGAAATAGTTTGCTATCAAGAAGAGGAACATGAACAGAACCTTCTTCTCTCAGAGCGCGCGCGAGAGAGGGAGAGAGACTAAAAACACTGTATGGGTTCTCTCTTATTAAGCTTCGGCTTTTGCAAACGCGTACAACGAGAAGCAAAAAAGAAATTAGGAAATTTTGATTAAATTCAATTCTTAAAAGGAAGATTGAAAAAATGGGTTTGTTTTCTTTTGGATTTGATGTTCGTAATCCGACGGGAAATTTTAATATTGATGGAAATTTTTTGAGAATTGGACGAGGGATTGATTGAAGCAAGGAACGGGCGGTGGAGTGACGAAGCAAGGAAAGAATAATCTCTAGACCATCCCATCATAAATACATACATACATACATACATGCATACATACATACATACATACATACGGGTATTGCATTCATCATCATCATGAGTCATCATAAAGCCGAAAGGAGGAGCTGACTCATCCGACCGCCTTTCTTTTTCTCTCTCCATCACGCGCCTCTTTTTGCCGTGTCGTGCACTTTCTCTCCCTCATTTTCATTTTTGGCATTTAATGTTTATTTTTCTTCCTTTCAAAGCTTTAATTTTGTTTGTTTATGGTATACATTTTCTTATTTATTTTTTTTAATTTTAATATTATCGATGACTTTAGTACTAAAAATTTATTAAAATTCTAGACGAAAATTTTGATGTCTTACATTGGTTGAGGAGGAGAACAAACCACCATTTATATATAAAGGTGTGGAAACTTTCCCCTAGCAGACAGCATTTTAAAGCCTTGAGGGGAAGCCCGAAAGGGAAAGCCCAAAGAAGACAATATCTGCTACCGGTGAATCTGGGGCGTTACAAATGATATCAAAGCCAGACACCGGACGATGTGCCAGCCTTCTCGTTATTCCCCGAATGGGGGTAGACACGAGGCGGTGTGCCAGTAAGGACGCTAGGCCCTAAAAGGGGGTGGATTTGGGGGCGGTCCTACATTGATTGGAGGAAGGAAAGAGTGGTAACGAGAACGCTGGGTCTCGAAAGGAGGTGAATTGTGATGTCCCACATTGGTTGGAGAGTAGAACAAACCACCATTTATAAGGGTGTGGAAACCTTCCCGTAGCAGACGCGTTTTAAAGCCTTGAGGGGAAGTCCGAAAGGGAAAGCTTAAAGAGGACAATATCATTATCGGTCTTAATTTATACCCTAAAAGTAATTTTAACAAAGTTTAGGGGTTTTCTTGTAAATATGTATAAGTTGAATAGACACGAGATTGAGTAGCTACAGAGAATGAAAATGGATAGAATCTAGCAATAAAGATAGTCATAAATGTGTGGGTCTTAGTTCATAATATATATGTGATATTGCCAGCCATGATATCTCAACAACCAATCAATCTCACCTTTCTGCTCGATCCCTTTCCATGTTGCATCACGAGAAAATGCCCACTGTAGTTTACGTAGGCTCATAACGTTGCATTATTACATTCCTTTAGCGTGTATTGTTAGGAGAATACCAAGCTATATATCTCGTGGCTTCCAGTAAGGAATCTCGAAAGGATTTCTTCAAAGCTTGTAAAGGAGACATAGAAATAACATTTTTTGATTACTATTAAACCAGATAGAAGCGATTCTATTTACTTCATCTCTCGACAAAATCGCTTCTGACTTTTATCTTTATCTTGTACTCTTCTTCTCTAAGGAATTACGAAATAGTCTAATGTTGTCGGTAGGTCTAATCATAAACATGACTTACTATTTCTCTCTTTATATCTAACGATCGTGTCGTGAACGTTAACTCGATTACTTATTCGTCACCTATATCCTATTAGAAAAATCTCAATGGAAGCATGAAGAACTTTGACTTTGACCAGAGAGAGTGTAATACACGCGTGGGTGTAAATTAAGTGGGGCCGTATTATTATTATTAATGATTCAATAAAATTAAATAAAAAAAAAGGAAAGTGGGGCCCATATTTGTTGAGATGTGCATCATACCGTTAAATTTGTTGACCAGAATTTCCAGATTTTCTGACTTGTGTCGCCCACATCATACCCCCCCTCTTTCACCCTTTTATATATATATATATACATACATACATATACATACAAAATTACGGTATTAGACATTTTTTATTTTTTTTATTTTTAATTACTTTTTGACGAAATTAATAAAAATCATAAATTTTGTTTTTGTCTCGAAAATACTTTTGTATTTTTCATTAAAAAAATTGGACGGAAATTATACTTTAATTAAAAAAATTCAAAAATACATTTACCCTTACTAACATATTTTTAAAATATCTATGAAATTTTAATAATAGCATTAATATTCTTAATTTCTATAAAAAAAAAATTAAAAAAAAATGTCACTATATGAACAAAAAAATGTATATCCACCCCTCATAAATCATTTCTAAATTTTTTAATATTATTTTTTAAAAGATTTTAAATAAATTTTAAATGTCTAAAAAACATTTAGAGTTATTTTTATTAATTATATATATATATAATCGGCTAGGTGAAAGTCGGTCGAACAATTCATGTACAGCCAAATCACGTGATGACATCATCGTCTTCACTCTATTCCATTATAATAATAATAAATGAATAATAAATATAACAAATTGTTTTGATTTAAATAAATAATTTAAATTTTATTTTATCTTAGATAGAGCTCCCAAACGACAATTTAATTTAGATTTATTTATTGTCGTTATTTTCTGTTTGTTTCTCGGGAAAATGATGTACGAATTGTTGGATGTTTGGTTCACCTAACGTTTCACGCCTGAATTAAAATTTTAATAATGTTTGATTATTTATTCGTTATGTTCTTATTTTTATCGTAAATTTAAAGTTGTATTTATTCGACTATATGATTAATTTAATTAATCGAGTTGGTCACTAATTCCATACCAAACTTATTTTCGATCCTCTATAAAAAAAACATTATCGTTTTGAAGTAGAAAGAATCAATTCAAGCTGGTTTAGAATGTTACCGTGAAAATTATTTTTTAATTCAAATATTACTTTTAAATATTGGTTTAGTGATGTTTTATCCTACTGTATTTGAAATTAATATTTACACGTAAATGAGTCTCTACGCTCGTAAAAAGCATGATACTTGTTAGAATATCTTGCTTAACGTACGAAAGTACATCCTCCATCGTCATTGTATGTACTTGATTAAAATTTTAATATATAGTTATTATATGTAATGGGTCAAAAGCGGATTAACGGTGGGCTTGAACTGTTATAAAATGGTATTAGAGCCAGTCACCAGACGATGGGAGACACTAATTGGAGTAGGGCTTGTAATGATCCTGACCCACCGCTAGCATATATTGTCCTCTTTGGGCTAACGTTGGATCTGGGTCGTTACAAATGGTATCAGAGCCAGACACCAGACGATGTGTCAACCTTCTCATTGTTCCTTAAAGAAGGGTAGACAAGAGGCGGTGTGTCAGTAAGGACGCTGGGCCCAAAGGGGTTGAATTTGGTGGTAGTCCCACATCGATTGGAGAAAGAAATAAGTGCCAGCGAGAACCCTGGGCCCATAAGGGGGTGGATTGAGATGTCTCACATTGGTTGAGGAGGAGAACAAAACACTTTTTATAAGAGTGTAGAAACCTTCCCATAGCAGACGTGTTTTAAAGCCTTGAGGGAAAGTCCAAAGAGAACAGTATCTGCTACCAGTGGATCTGGGTCGTTGCATTGCTAGACCCTCTCCATAGTAGATGCGTATGGTGCGAGGAGGTTACATTCTTTTCTTCCTTTACTCAAATCCTTACCTTTGGTTTATCAAAATATGATCGTATAAAGTTACACAATATTCAAGCAACGAATATTACAAATAATTATATTTTATTGCAATTTTCAAACACAAATTGAGTGGGAGGAGAAAGTATAAGCATTAAACTTCCATTTTTTAAAAAAAACTTAGGCGAAAAATGAATAGTGTGTCTGACTCGGTACCTAATTTTGTTCGAACCATGCAATTTCTCATTGAGAATTCGATTCTTGTGATTTATGTAACGGCCTAGTTCACCGCTAGCCGATATTATCATATTTGGACTTTCCATTCTAGGCTTCTCTCAAGATTTCATAGGCCCTTACTGCCACATTGCTTATGTCTGACTCTGAAACCATTTGTAACCGTCTAAGCCCACCACAAGCAAATATTGGGACTATATTTGACCGTGATGAGTTTGTGCGGTTACAAATTTTTTGTGAAAAATAAATGAAGAACTTTTTGATGATAGAAATTGAAAGAGGTGATCGGAACGAATCTTGCCTAATAAACATCTACGAACACGTAAATAATCACGAGAATTTAATATGATTATATGACATAATGCATAAGAATTGAATATAAAGATTTTAAGAAGAAAAAGAAGGTCTAGAAGATTGAGGACAATGTAAAAAATCCTTGAAGATGAAGGCAATTGTAAAACATTGATTTCATGAGTTGACAAATTCAAAAAGTCTACAAAGATCATTAAATGTGTCTTTTCAAACCAAAAAGTTCATATTTAGTCACCACCACGTATTTATATTTAATCTTTTCTGGTTCTTCGTTTGTGGTTCTTCGTTTGTTTAGACGGTCACGATGAACGAAAAATATTGTAAAAAGTCTATAATAACATTTTTCGTAAATTTTTATATAAATTATTTCTTATAGTGAATGGATCGATATCATATTCAAATAAGAACTTAATCATCTCGGTTCCCATTTAATTAACATAGAAAAATCTCTCTCGATTTCTTCTCTCATATTCTTCGCTTAAACGTAAAGTGAAAGGACTCGGAAAATAAATTAGGGTTTTAAAGTGGAAGAATAGAGCTTGCATGACATTAATTATAAGTGTTTTTTTCTACATTGGGTTGCTATGACTTAATCCAATGCATACAACATAACGGTCAACTTCCTTCATCTCCAAATTTAAAACTCTAATATTTCTTTCTTTCTTATGTAATTATAAAAACCCTTCACTCCTTCCATTAAAACCCTCAAACCCATCAAAACCCACTTCTCAAAATTCCTCCTTTTTCACTTGTGAATCCAAAAACCTCTCCTTTTCTCCATCAATGGCAGCTTATTCGACTCGGGTTGTGATTATCGACACCAAGTATGTGCAAACGGATGCCAAGAGCTTCAAGACGGTGGTGCAGAAGCTGACGGGGAAGGACCCGGTGGCGGAGGAGAATCGACCTGGTGGCGGTGCCCGGAACTCGAGTCTTTTGAGAGATTCATCGTTCAAGGAGTTCCAAAGAGTGCTGCGAGAGATGCCAAGAATTGATTAGCTTTATTCTGAGTGAATGAATGCATATTATAGAGATAGATGTTTCTTAGGATGATCTTTGTTGCTTAGTATCATTTGTACTTATTGACATATAATTCTTTTATTCTTTTCTAGTTTTTACTCTCTTTTTCTTTTCCTCGTTTGTTTATATACATTTCATTAATAAATCTCAGTTATTCCCATGATATCATGACATTTGAAAAGTCGAAAAACGAGTGTATTTTAGTAGAAGAGATGGAGAAACTTGTTTTGTTCTCGTTCTTGCTTTCTATTTTTTTTTTTTTTTTTGCAAGGATTGGACGGAGAATGAAAATCTGATCATCATAGTTCAACAATCTTTTTCTGAAGCTAGTACAATGTGGCTAACGATTTTATACCGTTAAACGAAAGAGAGAATTTAAAACAGTTCAAGTCCACCGCTAGTAACTATTGTTCTCTCTTTAGGTTTTCTCTTTCGAGCTTTCTAAAACACGTAGATTAGGGAAAAGTTTCAACACCCACTCTCCCGATCTAATGGAATCAAATTTGTGTTTGTTGGGTTCGGGTTCTTCATTCAAGAACATAGAGGAAGCAGAGCAGCATCAGCAGCAGAAAAATCAGGCCATACAATATCAATCTAAAATGGCATAGAATAACTCAAAAAACACTTAAGAAACCAAAACATATAGCAGTTTTAAGATTGAAACTCAGTGATATGAAGAACTTCAATTGAAGAAGAGTTATGAACAAGTTCAGCCACAGAAGCTAAAAGTTTCACCAACACTTCAAACAATTCACAACTTGTCTGAATTTCATTGTCCAACCTATACTTATAACTACTGTAATCAAAGTTTACCACCAACATTTGGGACATTCAGAGTTCGCCTGTTCAAGATGGCTTCATGCTTCCCGGACGAGTAACCCGTGGCCGAACCGGAGTCTTAGAAGGACTTACCCTACAAATTTTCATGAAACAATGTAAGTGAACAAATGTATGAACCAATATATTTAGAACAGTGAGAGCTTCACCAGACCTGATTGGCTGAGATCCCAAGATCATGCCACTACAATTCAGTGCTTGAAGAGCCGTCTCTGCCTGTTCACACAAACAAACAAAGCTGTTCTTACAAAAAAAAAGTAACCAACAAGATATCTAAGCAGAGCAAAGAAAAGGTTTACCATAGCAAACTCGACAAACGCTATACGGGTCGAATGCAGCTGATCCCCCAACAACCTCAAGCGAGTTACCTAAACTCAAACGGAAGATTTATCGGTTAAAATCTTCGAAAACGTGCCAACACGAATATGCCCTCTTTGTATAAGCTATATATCTTACCTCACCACAAGATGTTTCAAAGAAACTCTTAACTTCAGCCTGAGATACCTGTAAACAAAAAACATGGAGTTGTCGACCTCGGATTGAGATTGAAGGAGATCGAACGAGGAGTATGGAAGGACAAGAAGCATAGAAAATGATATCGAATTTGGAAACACCAGCACCATCGTGTCATCAGATAATAAGTCGGAATATTTTACGTAATTGCATAATCTAAGACTTGATCTAGAAAAGAAAATCAACAGCACCGGAGCAGAGATACGAAGAAAAAGTAATGGACTTGATCTTTCTATATGCACAAGGCTAGTACACGTCGAAGAAGTTAAGAAAACCGACCCCGATTACCACAAACCATAGCAGGAAGAATTGATTAAAGAACAAGTTATGGATCCTTTCTTTTTCACGAATTGCACTAATTTTCTTCTTAGTTAGGGAAAAAGTGAAGAAATTACCTTCTTATCAATATTTGTGCAGTAGATAGTTCTTGTACACATATCCCATTCATCGTTTGACTGTAATAAAATTATAAGAACGAAAGATCGAATCAGGTTTTACACGAGAACTTTTGTACGGAGAATATGAATATATCCATATAGGAAGAGATCAGGAAACGCCATACCTTAGGGAGAAAGGTAGGATTCACAGGAAGAATGGCAGTCTTTGAAGGCAATACCTTAACTGGATAAGACCCGACCACCGTCCCGCTAAGGCCTATGGCTGTTCTAGCACTATCTGTTGCCAAAACATTCCAGGGTGGCATGTAAGATCAACTTATATACTTCTTTTTTCAGAAAAATTCATGAAGGAACTTACGCTCATTAGCAAACTCCACAAAAGCAAAACGAAGAACTGAATGGGGATCGCCACATATTCGGCAATCATTAACCTTTAACGATATAAAATTTCCACGTAAGCAAGGTCTTCAATTAAGTTTCGAGAATATTCAATAATATAAACCAAATCAGCGCCTCGTTCGAGCATAAGAACTCAAGAAGGAGAATACTTAATTCGAGTCAGTGGACCGAAGTTCATGCTCGTCAAAGTACACGGAAAACACTTTTTCTTTCTGCAAAATGAGGCGAAATAATTTTCTAGAAATGGAGTATACTTACATAACCACAAAACTCCCTGAATACCTTGGCGAGCTCCTCTTCAGAGACCTAGATTTTAGAAACAAACGTCTCATTCTAAAATTATCTCGAGCATTATAACAAGACTCTAAGCTTGTAAAGATATGACCGATACTCACATCCTTATCGATATCAGATACATAGACAGTCCTCCTTATACTTTCCTCTTGCTGAGCCCTGACAGATCTATTGTTATTCATTCTTCTTCTCCCCTGGTTATTAAAGTCGCTTCGTCTCTGAAAGAGAGCGAGAAAGAGGAGAGTATTAACTTGTAGCATGGAAAAAAGTTCGATATCATTCAATTGAATTCACGGCGATTGATTCCTTTTATGATTCTAAAAATTAAACGATTTTATAAAGGCATCACAACTCTTTTCCTATAGGAGCAAAACAGAGTGTTACGAGATACGAAAGGAACATATTCCTACATGCTATCATGCGTCTACCAATACGAAAGCATGCCAATGGAGCTCGATAATCTCAACATGGTCGATAAGTTACAAGAATTACGAAAAAGGAAAGGTCCTAGTTCTTATCGTTCTATTTATCGACGAGCCACAGTTCAGACAAGCATTCTTCAAATATTGGTAATAGTAATAGAGCGGACCGTAGAGACTAAATTGCGAAACGAATCCAAGTAACTTAAATAGCATAAGATAGACTAATCCTAGTTCAAGCGCCCAACACAAACCTTAAGTGAACGTTATCGGTCTCAATAGCCTAACACAGAGATAAGAACTTATGGCAACATGATGAAGCATCAATTTTGATTATATTTTAGAATCGAGCCGGATAATAATTTAATTAGCTTCATCATTCCAGGCAGATAATGACTAGCTATCGTTGTACTAACAGATCCGAGGCGATCTAAACGATGATCGGAAGGCGAACACAAAAGCTTTTTCAATCGAAAACGATTCTCCAAAATAGCATGAGAAATGGGAATGTAGCGAAGAATTGAACAAACCACAACAATGAACAATTCACAAGTAAACTTCATAGCATTAAACATATACACATTATCTTGAAAAACAATCAGTAAGAACAAACAGTCCCAGATCAAACAAAAAGTTCGACCGAACCGATTCGAGCAATGAAATTATGGATTGAATGTAGATATCATCAAGAATTTCCAGGGTCAACGACAGTAAATCATACTAATAGCACATCCCAGAATAAAATTCATCAGATTAAACATGAACATAAACATAATTCAATCCAATTCCAGCATTTCAATTATGGGTTGAATTCCAAAATCCCAAATCGAAACAAGAACAGGAAAAGCAGATCAGATTAAAGAATTCAAGGGGGGAAAAAAAGAGAATACCCTGCGATTGATATCACCGTCCAACAGTTGATCGGCGACCTGAAAGGCTTTGGCCGACGATCGAGTATTGTTTTGATAATAGAATTGAAAATCTTGGCGATCATGATGAGAGTAAGAGGAAGGGAAAAACTCCTTAGCCAAAGGGTTCAAATTACTGAACATTTCAGCGAGGTTATTAGCATCAAATTGTGATTTGGGTTTCATCTGCGGATCAAAATTCTTGGCAGCCGCTGCCTCACCGGAATTCTCAGCAACCGCGGCCATAGAATGAAAACCCAGATGGGAAATATGAAAAATATGAAAATTAAAGAGAAAGAACAGGTTTCTCAGTCCATTTGGAAAATCCCAGCAGACGGGTAAGGTGGAATTTGGGATTAAGAGACGAAATGAAGAGAACCCATTTGAGAGAGGCAAGAAATGGGAAGAGGGTGAGGAGAAAGAATGGTTTTTTTTTTTTTTTTTTTTTTTTTTT